TGCCCCTTTGAAGCTGGGGGCAGGGCGGGGACGGGCTGTAGTGCAAGGTCAGAGGTCCACCCTATTCCACTGCTGTCCAGGGCTCCTGTTAGAGCCACAGGGAAGTGGCTGACTGGCTGTCCTGGTGCCCCCTCCTCCCCGATAGCTGATGAAGGCACTTAGTCAGAGGGCACGGCTGGCTGAGGCCACAGCCCCTCTGCTGTCCCGAGGCCATCCTTCCCTGTTCCACGGGCCTGGCACTTCCCAGGTGGCTGCTGCACCACAGATGATCTTTCCAGCTTTGGGTCCCTCATGTGTTTTTCATCCTTCCCCCCATGCCTAGCCTCTCTTCTCACCATCTCCTTCCCAGGAGCCCTCCCTTTCTCCTCCCGCAAACCTCATTCTTCTCCTTTTCCCATAATCAGGAAAAGCTTTGATTGCCTATTATACCTGGAGCCCAAATCGTCACCAGGAGAGAAACTGGTTTCCCCCACCTTGAAAGCCTGACCTTAGACACTCAAGTGTGCCAGTCAGGGCAACATTCCTGGGAAGAGAGGGGAGGAGTCTAGGTTCCAACCAGGCAAGGGTCACCCTCCCCAGAAGAATGGGCCAAATGACTCCTAATACGAGGGAAAATAGAGACAACCCCCCAAAAAAGTCTTACAACAAAACCAGCTAATGTTCAAAACCTGCCCCATCTCATTTCTTTGAAATTGAAGATAATTTAACTCATCAGAAAAAAATAAAGGCTATGGGAATGAAGAGATCTCCAAAGGAGTTTGTAGGCTGGGCACAGTGGCTCACACCTGTAATCCCAGCACTTTGGGAGGCTGAGGCAGGTGAATCATTTGAGGTCAGGAGTTTGACACCAACCTGGCTAACATGGTGAAAGCCTCTCTCTACTAAAAATACAAAAATTAGCCAGGTGTGGTGGCACGTGCCTGTAATCCCAGCTACTCAGGAGGCTGAGGCAGGAGAATCGCTTGAACCTGGGAGGCGGAGGTTGCAGTGAGCCAAGATTACGCCACTGCACCCCAGCCTGGGCAACAGAGCAAGACTCTGTCTCAAAAAACAAACAAAGGAGTTTGTGTGGTGTAAGAAGAAAACTGGGGACATTTAGGGTGAAAACTAAGGAAAATGAGTCAGTGAAGGAGATCAGAAAGAAGTGGTCAGAGGAACTGGAAGAGGGGTGGGAGAGGAGGGGAGAGAGAGAGGGAGAAAGATGGGGGGAGACAGAGACAGAGAGAGAGAGAGAGAGAGAGACACCAGCCAAGATAAGAGATCAAGAGGTGGAGGAGTTTCCAAGAGACTGAGAGAAGCTGCAGGTGAAGAGTTGGAGTTCACAACCCAGAGGGAAGGTGGTGGTGCCCTCTGCCTGGACCAAGTTGGGTGGAAGCAGGGTGGGAGGTGAGGGAGTCATGGAGTGCAGGCAGTGGCTGTGGGGAGGGGGCAGGAAGAAGTCTAAGGCAGCTGAAGGAAAATGAGTGAACCCAGGGAAGGGTACGGTGCTGAGCTGGAAGAGCTGAGATGTTTCTAGGCAAAGGGGAGGGAGCCAGAGAGAGGAAAGCAAGGCCCCTAGCGGGCAGGACCCAGGCTGGAGGGAAGAGGGGCAGGAGAAGGAGGAGGCGGCAGGCAGGCTGGGAGGCAGAGCACCTGCGGGGGTGGCAGGGACTGACGGGGTGGCAGGAAGCAGAAATGGCCTCTGCTTATTGGTCTGAATGGGCAGTGAGGTTTTCTCCTGAGATCTGGAGAGAGGATGGAGGGATATTTAGATAAGGCTGAGGAGAAGTGAAGGTTTGAGGACAGGCTAGACCATAGCCTCTGCGGTGGCTGCAAGAATCTGGTGACTGCCCCTTGGCCACAGCCCCCTGCAGTTTGAGGGCGGGGCCAGAATGTTGCCTACAGGGGCGGGTCCAGGGCTGTAAGGGTGGATCTAGGGAGGGAGAGGAAACCTGGGGGGAGTAAGGATTGCTGCTTCTCAACCAGTTTCCTAGGGAAAGCCAAATTTAGAATCAACAGAAATGTGGCTGGGCATGGTGGCTCACGCCTGTAATCCAGCACTTTGGGTGCCTGAGGCAGGTGGATCACTTGAGGCCAGGAGTTCAAGACCAGCCTGGCCAACATGGCGAAACCCCGTCTCTACCAATAAAATACAAAAAATTAGCCAGGCATGGTAGCACGTGTCTGTAATCCCAGCTACTCAGGAGGCGGAGGCATGAGAATTGCTTGAACCTGGGAGGCAGAGGTTGCGGAGGCACCACGGCACTCCAGCCTAGGTGACAGAGTGAGAGACTGTCTCGAAAAAACAAAAACAAAAAAAATCAACAGAAACCTGGCAGGGCCTTCAGAATTGTAAAATGTGACTATTTGCTTTGTGGCAATGTAAAAAAAAAAAAAATCACATTTTCACTGAGAAAGAAGAACAAATGAACAAACCGAACAAATGAACAAACCGAATGTCTGGGGACAACCTGACGCTGACATTCTCTGCCTTGCTGATGTCCACCTGCCCACCTGCCTGGCTTGTTTATTGCTGTGCTTACAGATATTTCCTACTCTTTACTTCCTGACATCTTGACCAAGGTAACTGTGACGAGTGAAGACACAGTCTGTTGTCATTTTCCAGCAAGAACTCACCCAAGGAGTTAAGTGATGGCCCAGAGTTTTCCAGAATCATTAGCACCTGGCACTAAAATAGAGGCAGAGAGTGAATGATACTGTGCCAAGACAGGTGTCTCTTATCGTGTGAAGATAAATGCTGGTTGATATCACCCGTTAGGCCGGGTGCAGTGGCTCACGCCTGTAATCCTAGCACTTTGGGAGGCCGAGACAGGTGGATCACCTGAGGTCAGGAGTTTGAGACCTGCCTTGCCAACATGGTGAAACCCTGTCTCTACTAAAAATACAAAAATTAGTTGGGCATGGTGGTGCACACCTGTAGTCCTAGCTACTCAGGAGGCTGAGGCAGGAGAATTGCTTAACCCGGGAGATGGAGGTTGCAGTGAGCCGAGATTGCACCACTGCACTCCAACCTGAGAGACAGAGCAAGACTCCATCTCAAAAAAAAAAAAAAAAAAAAAAAAAAAATTGTAGGAAAAGAGACCTTTAGATCAATGAAGATGAGTGGTGCTCTTTGCAAAAGTGTACAAATTCTAAATGGAATTGCTGGGAA